CGTAAAAGCTCGAACAGAGAATTGTGTTGGTGACCCGGTGGGATATATCCCAAATTATCACACACACACACACACACACAGACACAGGGGGATATGAGTTCGGGTGCCACTACCACCATCTCACTTTACCCACATGCGTTCTATGGCACCTCTTTGATTAGCGGCTTCCTTTTCATTAAAAATTGTATTATTGCCAATTAAATAAAAGAAAGTAAAAGAATGAAAACACATTGGTACACTATGTATCTTGATAGAGCTTATCCTACTGTTCGCGTGTACAAACGAAATAGAGGATCGTTTGTAGTATAAACCACACACATGGCGAACGTGATGGACTTGGGCGAGGAGGGGGGGGGGTCGTGTAGCAACATGGGTACTGACCAAAACTGTAAAATTTACTCTGAGTTTCGGATCATCTTGTCCATATATCGGACATGTTTAGGACGGTATAAACGAACCAAAGCCTTGATAGTGCAGACCTGTTATTCGTTGTCACTCTGTTTGTCCTGCTATATATCGCCAAGTCAATATGAACGTTGAGGCCGGTATGCGATTCAATTCCTCACAAAACTGCCCAAACATTTTAATCTTTTCTATCGTTTAACGGTCCTTGTTATATCATTTTTTTTCCTATCGTGTTCAAAAGTAATGGCACTCCCAATTCATTCGCCCAATTATAGCGGTTATCTTCTATCGAGCGCAAATACTTGTTTTATCGATGGACCCGTTCTCAAGACATCACTTGATCCGATCACAAAGACATAGAGTTGATCGTGGTGCGGATGAATCCCGACGGCTCTCGCCAACTTTCGCCCACACGTCTTCCCTCATCTTCGTTTACACAGCAGCAATGTTGTCCGCTGTGGTGGCCTCCACAGTTCGATCTCACCGTATCTCATCATGCGGGAAGAGTGTGATACGCTTGAAATCTGCAAACCACTTAACCACAGTGCTTCTCGAAGGCGCCTCATCGCCGAAGGCAGCCCGCTTGTGCTGCAGCTGTTTTAAATCACATTTGTAGCCGTAGAAAATCCTCGCCTCACAACTCCAGTATGGCGATCCCTATGGTTTGTGGGCCGTGTTCGGCTGTTGATATTGGGTCCTGTGAACAATATTCACAATAGATTACAGTTCACGTATTCCTTGCCCGGTCATCTGAACCGAAAACTTTTTGCAATGCCCATGTGGAAAACCTGGTGAGTCAGCAATCTCTTGATCCAGCGCACGAATGAAAATCAAAAATACGAACAGTCGACGCTGACCAGTCATCTTCGTCCAAACGGTCTGCGATCTCCCCAGTCAATTTAAAACCTGACGAGTGTGCACTAACACACGTCCGTGTGTTTCTGTCATGCGTCGGGTTTAATATCCGAACACGTCTGCATGCAGGGCCAACGGGCTCTGGACCGAATCTTCGATCCGACGAGCGCATTTTGGCGTGTGCGTCCCCGCTCGCTGCGATCGATCCGCCCTGCCTGTCTGTCCCACTTTTCACCTAGCCACCGATCCCGGTTGCTTCGATTCTAACCCAGGGTCTGTTGAGTGTGTGCGTGCGTGCGTGTCTTTGCGTGTCGTAGGCCAAACACAACGGCGAAAAAGTGATTGGTCAGATTCCCCGACGCATGTAATTGGCTTTGGACAATATCGAGGACAGACAGGGCTACCCCGTCCTTCGTACACATACGCACACGCGCACGGACGCACGCATGCACGCACGCACGCACGCACGCAAGCAAACGGCGGCCTCCGCGCATTTGGTCGCCGATCCCGTACTCTGGCGCTCGCCTCACGCGGCCTGCTTGGTCTTCTCTGTTTGGAGTTTTAACGGCTCAGGTTACGTTTTTGCCGTCCAGCGATCAACATGGCAGCGATACGAAAGAAATTAGTCATTGTTGGTGACGGTGCATGTGGAAAAACTTGTCTGCTCATTGTGTTTAGCAAAGACCAATTTCCTGAGGTCTATGTGCCCACAGTTTTCGAGAATTACGTCGCAGACATAGAAGTTGACGGGAAGCAGGTCGAGTTGGCCTTATGGGATACAGCTGGTCAGGAAGATTATGATCGTCTTCGTCCACTATCATATCCCGATACGGATGTAATCCTAATGTGCTTCTCCATCGACAGGTAAGTCAGGAACTTGTACGCCATTTCTCTCACAATCTACACCTTACGCAATTGTTTTTTTCAAACTGTCAGCATGTCCAGATCAGTAAATTTTCCGACGTATGGATTAAACGAAGTGCATTAAGCTTATCTTAACGTTCCAGCTGCCCCTCGTTAGTATTTGCATCTGTACTGGTGAAACTTTTGCATTTCTGTTTCCATCAACAAGTGTTCTACTGGTCATAAACTTAGAGTCACAATCGGAATAGAAAAGTAGAGGTTAACAGTTATCATTAGGAGTAGCTTAAGATAATTCTCCGTGACATGCACGCAGACTACAGCCCACTGTATCCCCTTCCTTAATTATAACGGCGTGTAGAAGAACAAGACGCGTGACAGTTGTCTTTAGCTATGGTCTGACTGTTCGTCGTGTATACAGGTATTTATTTGGAGCATATTTCACTGCCCTCTTTAACTCTCATAAAATCCATCGAATTCATCAATATCTTGCTGTTGCCTCGTCTAGGTTTCCAGTCTTTATGTGGAGAATACCGGTGACATTTGATCTTCAAAACGTGTAGCGTCGCACTCCACGTTCGCTCGCTAGAGCATACAATAAGTTGTTTTTGAAGAAACAAAAAACTACTCCGATTTCATTCTCCTTAAAGCTATTTACGGGGAGGAAGATCTCTGTAATCGGAATTCAAAGCTCCTTGAGGTTACATATTTATTTATCTTCTCGGGTCGAAGATACAAGTTTTAGAGATGCTGGATGCAATATCGCGACCCGGAGGAGCGATCCGATCTCTAATTCTCTGGTGCTTCTCGATCACCCGGTATGAATCAGGAAGAACAACCGGTTGGTCAAGGGAAAATATATTGTTCCCTGAAAGTACCAGAGTTTAGTCTGACTACGCTCGAGAGTATCTGAAAGCGAAAATGCTTAGGAAGCGAAGGTGTAGCACCGTTCAAAATGGAGTTACTTCACCGGAGGTGGCAGTAACTTGAACAAAGTTAAAAGACCTGGCTGAAGAAGCGGTCTCAGGATATCGAAGATCCTGGCAAGATCTATGCTACAAAGGAGAAGAATGCACGAGCAAATGCTCCATGCAACCATGCAAAAGTATACATGCGAAACAGGCAGATCAAAGGTGGTAACAACTCTTTTAGCACCTAAGACGGGCTGAGCAACGACGCGTTTACCGAATCAACCAAGCGGGCTTATCCAGAGATTTTCCAAGCAGGGAACAGATTGAGAACAAAGTCGAGTACGAGCGTCAGTGTAATGTGACTTGCAGTGGAAAGTGTACCGAGAGCCAAGCGCACGGTACAACTCACCGGAAATTGTGCCATGTTCGAGGTCATATGCGATCTCGAAACAGAGGGCAATAAAACAAATGGGGTCTTTACATGAATCATGGGAATGACGTTGAGAAGTGGAAATAATGTCACCACACTCTCGAGCATGTTACACTGTCGGTCTCAAGTCACTACAAAGGGGATCAAAGAAAGAGAAATCTGGTTTAAGTACATTTTAGGAGCGGTAGTTATGACCTAAAGTCGAATCAAAAAGATGCCTAGAAAGGCGATATGATCTGGGACTTGTTGGCTTTTCAGCGCCCCCTTGATCATATCTACTTTTTCGTAACTATTTCATAAAGGATGCATGGTCGAAGAAAAAAAATAGTCAGCTAATGGGTTGACTTCCTGAATACCTCGATGGCAGCGGCGGTTGGTGTCGGGTTTTGGGTTAACGGGAATCCAATTTCACGGTGCCACAGTAAGCCGAGAGTAGTGTGACTTCACCGAGTTCGTCCGTCCTGTTCAAATTTTTCAAGGATCACGCAACTGCTACACTGGGCTCTTTCAGCACCATTGAACCATCTTTCGAGGGTTAACCACACTCAGCCTCATGAAAACTTCAATGTTTTTTTTCGTTTTTGACTTCCGTCACTTGATTAAGTTCATCAGTATGGCTCCCGACGAGGTATCACTCTCATGGATCCCGTTGAGCTCCCTGACTGGGGACACCGCGATCATGGTCACCGGTGGTTAGAGACGGTGAGCGCTATGGCTGAGTGTCGCACACAGTGGCGCCCACACATCTCATCATTCTTGCAACCCTAGTCTATATGAATTCTTTATCTTTCCTTGAATTGGCTTCCCAAATTTCAACCTTCATTCTGCTCTTTTTATCCAAATGGGCGATAATAAGACAGCAACTTAAACCGGCGAGGGAAAGTACGCGGTTAATGGTTGTAAAAACCGAGAACTGAACTTATCTGTGGGGTTGGGCAATCAACAGTTAGTCGATGACTTTTGAGGACAGAGTAGCTTGTAAGTAGTCGATAAAGTAGATTAGGTGACAAAAAAAAACTGTTCGCATACAATAGCGCAATTAAGCAAGCTACTCATATTAAGGAATATTTTTGTTTCACAGTAAATTGCAGTTAAACTGTAAAAGCCTAAAGGTGCTGTTCAAAGGAGAGCGGGGGTACGTTCACGTAAGACTTAGCACTCCAAGTCGGGTCGGAGTTACGACACGCTAACGAATTTAACAGATCGGGCTTATCAAACGTTCCCCGGAGTGAGTACGGATCGAGAAGGAAGCCGGCATCGAGCGGTAATGCCGCAAAGAGGTGTCTCACACCATGCACCTACATCCTTAGATCGGGAAACTAGTTAGCCGACCGGCCCAGGCGACGACCGTGTCAGGCTCGCCACAACAAAGTCGCCTGTTTTTCGTTACCGACCGTCATACCGGGATACGATTCCTGGTCGATACAGGCGCACTTGTCAGCGTCATACGCCCTCGCCCCACTGACCTACATCGTCTCCTCTGTGGAACTGGTCACTGCGAATCGCACACCCATCAAAACCTATGGCGAGCGTTCACTCACACTGAACCTTGGTATTCGCCGTAGCTTACCTTGGGTATTCATCATCGCCGACCTTCCACAGTCTATCATCGGTATCGACTTCCGACATTTCACCTCATCGTCCATCCGGTAAGCCATAAACTTATCGACCGTCTCACCACGTGTGAGACACTCGCGACCACTCCTTCGGTCAGCCCGCTCTTGTACATGCCTGATGCCACAGATAGGTTCCGAGCGGTTCTCTCCGAGTTCCCGGAGTTGTGCAAACCGCCGGACACTACCCCAGGCGACCACAAATATCGTGCATCACAGCCACACGCGGTCCGCCGACACACTGCCGCCTTAGACGCCTCGCCCCGGATAAGCTCCAAATAGCCCGTGCTGAATTTCAGCACGTGCTGGACCTCGGAATTATCCGACCATCCTCCAGCCCTTAGGCTTCACCATTACACATGGCTCCCAAGAAGTCCCCTGGCGACTGGCGGCCGTGTGGCGACTACCGCGATTTGAACAACGTCACCGCCCCCGATCGCTACCCCATCCCGCACATCCAAGGTCTAACAGCTAGTTTAGGGGTATGTAAGGTAAAATCCGTTTAGTTCGCGCGTACAATCAAATCCTGGTCCATCCCGAGGATGTCCCCAAGACCGCGGTGACTACACCGTTTGGTCTGTTTGAGTTCCTACGTATGCCTTTCAGCCTGCGCAACGCAGCTCAAGCGTTTCAACGCTTTATCGATCATGTTTGTCTCGGTTTAGACAATACTTTGGCGTACCTCGACGATATTCTAGTGGTTAGTGCAACTCCGGACGAGCACGAGCAACATTTACGTGTTCTCTTTACGCGTCTCCGGCAGTACAGCATCACCATTAACGCGTCGAAGTGCTCTTTCTAGGCCACCGCATCTCCGAATCCGGCGCCGCACCCCCACAGGATAAGGTGCTAGCCATCACTGAGTACCCAGAACCTACGTCACTGAAACAGCTTAGACGGTTCTTTAGCACACTAAGTCGGACTGAAGTTACCACGCGTTTACGAATCCAATCGATCGGGCTTATCGAACGATTCCCAGAGCAAGCGCGGATTGAGGAAGTCGGGTACGAGCGTATGTAGTACAATGCGACCTGCAGCGGAAAGTGTACAGAGCCAAGCGCACGAAACAACTCACCGGAAATTATGTCAAGTTCGAGGTCGTATG